AGGCCCTGCCCCTTATGACATGGTCCAGTGACTTTGAATTAATTAGCAATTTTCAATGTGAAGCTTTCTTCTTAAGTTAGTTTGGTAGGATCTACTTGTGATACTAGATCAATGATATTTTGTATAAAGTTGCATTACTATCAGTACATGTCAGTTTGACGACTATTTTGAGGCCCTGTCCCCTAGGACATGGTCCAGTGATTTGAATTAATTAGCAATTTTCAATGTTAAGTTTTCTGCTTAAGTTAGTCTGATAGGAACTACTTGTGATAGATCAATGCTATTTTGTATAAAGTTGCATTACTATCAGTACATTTCAGTTTGACGACTATTTTGAGGCCCTGTCCCCTAGGACATGGTCCAGTGACTTTGAATTAATTAGTAATTTTCAATGTTAAGTTTTCTGCTTAAGTTAGTTTGATAGGATCTACTTGTGATAGATCAATGATATTTTGTATGAAGTCGCATTATTATCAGTACATGTCAGTTTGACGACTATTTTGAGGCCCTGCCCCGTAGGACATGGTCCATTGACTTTGAATTAATTAGCAATTTTCAATGTTAAGTTTTCTGCTTAAGTTAGAGTGATAGGATCTACTTGTGATATATCAATGATATTTTGTATGAAGTCGCATTATTATCAGTACATTTCAGTTTGACGACTATTTTGAGGCCCTGCCCCTTATGACATGGTCCAGTGACTTTGAATTAATTAGCAATTTTCAATGTGAAGCTTTCTTCTTAAGTTAGTTTGGTAGGATCTACTTGTGATACTAGATCAATGATATTTTGTATAAAGTTGCATTACTATCAGTACATGTCAGTTTGACGACTATTTTGAGGCCCTGTCCCCTAAGACATGGTCCAGTGATTTGAATTAAATAGCAATTTTCAATGTTAAGTTTTCTGCTTAAGTTAGTTTGATTGGATCTACTTGTGATAGATCAATGATATTTTGTATGAAGTCGCATTATTATCAGTACATGTCAGTTTGACGACTATTTTGAGGCCCTGCCCCATAGGACATGGTCCAGTGACTCTGAATTAATTAGCAATTTTCAATGTTAAGTTTTCTGCTTAAGTTAGAGTGATAGGATATACTTGTGATATATCAATGATATTTTGTATGAAGTCGCATTATTATCAGTACATTTCAGTTTGACGACTATTTTGAGGCCCTGCCCCTTATGACATGGTCCAGTGACTTTGAATTAATTAGCAATTTTCAATGTGAAGCTTTCTTCTTAAGTTAGTTTGGTAGGATCTACTTGTGATACTAGATCAATGATATTTTGTATGAAATCGCATTAGTATCAGTACATATAAGTTTGGCGACTATTTTGAGGCCCTGTCCCCTAGGACATGGTCCAGAGACTTTGAATTAATTAGCAATTTTCAATGTTAAGTTTTTCTGCTTAAGTTATATTGATAGGAACTACTCACAATGGACAATGATATTTTTCTATAAAGTTACATTATTGTCTGTACATCTCAGTTTGTCGAACATTTTTAGGCCCTGCCCACTAGATCATGGTCCAGTGACTGAATTAATGAGCAATGTTGCTGTCCATCAGATTGACCTTTTCTGAATTTTATGCCGATAGGCGAGACATATATCTGCGTCAACAGTTAATTGTATTTTTATATTCCTGTATTTATATAGTAGATGTGTAATGAACTTGGACAATATTCTTCGGTAAATAAAAAAAACGTTTTATGATTTACAGTATATTGTTATGTGTATATAAAATCGTATTTTTTTTTCTCCATCAAGAAAACGGTAGACCATGAATAGATGACGCGTTTTCGTCAATTTTATTCACATTGCTTCATTCCGGATGTACGTGAAAGTTGTATTCGGAAAGATAAAGGTTTCTTCATTTAATATATGTGTATGTCTTTATAAAGCTAAAAGTTATTGTATAATTGATTGTCACGACGAATTTTGGAAAGTCCAATAAAACATTACAATTCTCAAAAACTATATGAAAATATTTCGTGAAAGGGTAGACAAGAAAATTTCAGAAGTTGAAGGTTAATAGTTACTGAAAATATTTATAAAAAAGTGATTTTTTTTAACTTATGCATTTTAAAAATCCAAAAGTAAAGGCTCGTCAAGTTTTTCGGCATAAAAAGGAAATCCGACTTCTATTTAAAGAACATTTTCATGAATAAATTAAATGCAAGCACATTGTTATTTTTATATTCAAACACGCCTACCCTGTGAGGACGCATTACAAAGATATTTGACCCATACATTTTGTTTTCTAGTAATATGAAATTTGAATGTTTATATATAAATATAGCTTTAAAATATAAAAAATTGAAATTTGAAGCGAGATGATATACTCTTCGTTTCTTTATAAAACTTTTAAAGGACGAGACAGGTGACCCAAACAAGCTTGAATATAAAAAGTGTACCTGACTGTCTTAGCATGATGAGATTGTTAGCAATTTTAAAGATTTTTTTTCTTCAAAACACTGTTACCGGGGCAGTGATGCAAGTCAATGCTTTTACAGAACAATCTCTTGCATTTATGTGGAAACTCATTTCACTTTAAATTTATGCATGCATCTTCAAGATCCAAAATGATATAACCTACCAACATCAGTAGTTTTGTGACAATTTATATTTAGTTAAAACAATTTTAATTTTTTTCTGAATTCCGTCAAAGTAAAGTTACTATTTAGGGATAAGTACTAAGCAAATCAACATACTCACATATTGTTTAGCGAACATTAAGATGTACCGTAGCGCATTGCACGATATGAAATGCTCCAATCTTGCATGCCTGCATGAATTATAAATAGCCAAATATAATAATTTAACATTTCGCCAGGATTTTTTTGTGAAAATGCCTAAATGAATTTGTTCTCCAAAATCCTACTTAATGTATTAAAACATAAGGAAAGCGACAGATATTTTATCTACAAAAATGTTGAGTCATTCTTTAGTAGTTAGAGAGCACTCGAAAGTAATAAGGTACACTCGAATCTCGAAGTTACATTTTGTTCTGATTAATATCTTTAAATATCATTCTTCAGTACCTCAATGTTTTATAAATAAATAAAGCATACAGTAGAAACCTATTACACATGACCAAATACCACTTTTTGATTTAATCAATACATTGATTGAGTCATTGGGTCAGAAAAAAAAAACATTTTAACTGTATCGCAAATGAATACTTCGATACGTATACGTATCCAAATACTTCAGCTCTGCAACATCTAGTAACTGTTAACGGTTTACTACCTTAGTAATTTAATATGGGTATGACCTCATTTTGTCTTTTTCGTGTCATGCCCTAAAATGTTATTCAGTGTAACTAATATATTTATCTCACAGTGTAGATACTATTCTGTACGCTATCCGGAAGTCGCGATTTTCGAAGCGAGAACTTGTTGGATCACATTTTAAATTTTATGGATATACTAAATTAAACGGTAAGTTGATCATCTGTACATTGCTTAATGATTAATTCAGCTGACATCGATATTCTCAAATGGCTTAGAATTAAATTCAGCACATTCATTATTCGTATCTTTGCCTTAATCAAGAGATTTTCAAGTGCATCACTAAGGAAAATCAGTCGGTGAACCTAAAAACAATCTTTTTACCCTCTTAGTGTACAAATTAACGTAAAAACCAGACGTTATTAACTAAATGAAGTATATTTCAAGTGGTGGTAAAAGTTTCAACCAGATCTTTGAAGCCAGAAATAAGAAAATTACACTTGTTTGAAGTTCTCACTGTACGATCAGTCCTGCTTGTATATTTTGAAACTGTATGATCAGTCTTTATTTCACTGTATTCTAGTGGTGATTTCAAAGTTATTTACGATACATTAGAAGGTGGCATTTTTCTAAATAACACAAATATATTTCAATAAATTCACATCCTGAAAACTTATGAAACATGTTTTAGCTTGATGGGGTGTACTCGACTTACTACATTAAGTATATACTTAAAATTGTACAAACACACAGATTTAATTGTTATATAGAAATGCATGTATTTACACACATTCGAGGCCGTACTGTAGCCTATAATTGATCACAGTTCCTTCACTTTGTTTTGGATGTAGAGCTGTCTCTTTGACACTCAATTGTACACCACTTTGTAAAGCGGGGGTTTATAGTGATATTGAAGTCCGTCTTTCCGTTGGACCGGTACAATATGTTTCGTCGGTTTTGTAAGTGCATCTCCTTATAAACCACTTAATATACATTGTGGGTTCCAGTCATTTTTAAATGGAGAGGGGGTCCAATCCAGGAGAAAAAGGATTCCAAATATATGTTCCCATACAAATGCCGTCTACAAAAATCATCAGAAATATATTTGTATTGTCTGATGAAAGAAATTACACGTTATAGTTCCCTGGACAGTTCATAATATTAATCACATAGACACGTATATACCTTCAAATTGCATTTGTTTCTTTTTCAAAATCACGACTGGTCATACAGTCAAAAAATCTGAAATCGCTTTTAGAATACAGTCAGTTCTAGACTGATCGTACAGTAATTTATTTTGGGGTCCTCAAGGAAAACATATTTTTTTATGGGAAATACGAATATTCTACTTAAATACGAAAAGAATATTGAAACAGTATATATTTAACTGTAAACTGATGCAAATATTTGCATTAAAAGATTATTTGCTTTGTACTACGAGAGCAAAATTGTCCATCGATTTCACTTTTTTCTATCAAGTTGGTGTGATGCACACGTATATTTTATATTCTTATGCATGTTTTTGTTACAGTTACTCATATTTATGATGCTATACATACCTTGAAGATCTTCAAAGCACTTTATAGATATAGGAGTAAACAAATGATGAGAAAAGTCACCGTAGGCAAAACCGTCCTGTTAGCCAGTTGGAAATCATCGCTTCGAAAATCGCGACTTCCAGATAGCGTACAGAATAGTATCTATACTGTGTATCTAACATGTCTTCTTCAGAAAGCATTGGATGTGGTGCGAATAAACAAGGGATGTCAGATTTAGACAAAACAGAAGTTAGAAGAGTATCTGAAGCTGATTATGATGATGTAATGTCAATCAGATCTACTCTTTATGGTGGTTATGATTATCTTCCGTTTTCGTACAGATCACTTATGACTCATTCTCACAACGAAGGATATGCAGCAGTCATCAATGGAAAATTTGTAAGTCTTATTTAACTTTATTCTTCGGGTTTCTATTATTTTGTAAAATTAATGTGTTTTGTTAAAGATGATTGAAAGATGATTGTTTTTTTTTTATTTCAACATATTTATTACGTTTGAAGGACGTTTTAAAAAAAAAACAATTGACATTCGTATGGGAACCAATTGTGCTGACTCTTCTTGCCCACTTGTTCCTTTATTTATATGAGACAGAATTCATACAGGAGCTTATTATCAAAAATGAAAAGAAACTAGTATTTTCTTTTCACTTCACGTTCCACTAAAAAGTTGATGTCCGCTCGCTAAATAATTCAAAGTTTGGTGACTATGTTGAAACCATCTATCCCATCAAACTTGAAATAAAGTACCACACATACAGTTAAGACTGTTATATATCTTGACTAACATTTAGTTATTGGCAATGAGGCAGGGTTGAGAACCAAACTTTACGACAAAAAGGATAATTTCAGCTTCACAATTCAGAAGTTTCTAGTTCTATGTAGCAACATTTCACCAACGCCTGTATATGGAGTATACATCTCTCAGACCTAAAAGGACAAGGTGTTTCGTACTGACCGATGCAACTAATTAAAAATTCGGACATTAAAAACACCTGAAAAAAAGTCAATCGCATATCTAACTAAGACTGAGACCAGTCCTGAGCAAAGCACATGAAATACAAGTATAAAACATCATAGTTACAGCAGACTACACATAGTATATACTAGATTGTGTATATATTGACCGATAGAAGGTAATTGAACAGACACAGCAATTTATGATAAACGAAATGATACGATATTAGTTTCCATGAATATACTAGTAATTGGTTTAAATTTCACAATTAGTTCGGGAAAATAGTCCCTGCTATGCCTAGACCAGTTTTTATGATAGAAAAAAGGATATTAATTGGACAAAAATCTTTTAATTACAAGAAAATAACCAAATTTCAAAGACATAACACTTTTATAAACAGTTCGCACCAAATAGAAAGGTTGAAACGACCCCGAGCGTCGTCTTTTAGTAGTATACTTTAAGTATATGTAAGAGAATGATAATCCCTTTCTTCATGAATAAGTACGAGCGTTAGCGAGTACTTATCATGAAGTAAGGGATTATCATTCTCTTAGCACATACTTACAACTTCTCGTCCAATCAAATTGCTTATATTTGCCTTCTAATTTTCATAGTACATACTTTTCCTGTGTACTAAGTAACTACGCATGAATGACCACAAGGGTAAGATTTCATTGTATCGTCATCAAGATATTTAAAACAAAAATTGCCACTGGCTATTTTGAAATAAAATGCTGTGTTCCAAATTAAATTAAATAGTTTGTAATTAGTTTTCACATTGATTTTTAAATATCCTGCTATTAAAATCTTTGGATCTAAAAAATGTTTTTGACAATTGCAAATTTTATCATTTGAATAAAGGGTAATACATATGGTTCTTTATACCTTGATTAGAGTACAACGATATCTTAAAACTATGATAATGTATCATCCATGCAATTACTTTGTACACAGAAAAGTGTGTACTATGAAACCTTGTGAAGGAAAATTAAAGCAACTTGGTGATGTGTTTTAAAACTTTCTTAATGAAAGTGATCTATTTCGTCATGAATTGATTGATTTATTGATTATTGGTTGCTTAATGTCCAGTGGCAAATATTTCATGCATGTTCAGGACGATGTCATGAATTGAAAAACTGTGATTATGTCTGAAGATAATGTGCCACCTATATATATATATATGTAAACATATTCTGATAAATCTTTTAGTTTTTACTTTGAACTAATAAAAAAAAAAACAACACAAAACCTATAATCTCTGATCTATTTGTAGTTGCTTTTTAATGCCTATCTGCTAGACTATATCTTTGGGGACAAACTATCTATATGTTTCAAATTTATTATAGCTTTAGTTTTACTGTGAAATTAAAAAAATGTTTTCAAAACATGTAAAGCTTCCACTGCAATTTAATTATTGCCTGCTTTTGGTCAATTTATTTTGTCATCTTACCTTGTAAGAAGAACATGTATAGTAAAACACCGCTTTATATCAGTATACATACTTACACCAGCAGCTACCATCCATTCATTCTGGAGTGAAGGGCTTTTTGAAATCACATATTTTACAATGATACTAGTGAGTAGATTTACAAAATTCGTTAATGAGCTCCGTTTTACAAACACCTGTGATACAAGTAGTCAGCCAAAATAAACTATCAATAGACCAATTAAAAGATTACTCGAGTTGTAAATATGTGCTAAATTGGATAGTCTATGGAAAGGTATATACTATGAAATTAAGAGCTCGGGGCAAGCCCCTCGCTCTAAATTTCATAGTATATACCTTACCATAGACTAACCTAGACTTACAAACTTAGAATATTGTAAAGTGCTCAAGGCTCAAATGATCTATTCAAGAATTAGTTTCATTGTCAGTGCAATGTTTATAATTGATGCATGACTTCCTTTTTCGGCATGTCATTTATGGATAAATTTTAGTGATGTGAGGACTTTCTTATCATTTGGGAAATATTTAAAAAAAAAATGCGTTATAGATATCAGGTGACACACAGTAGAAAGAAAAGGTATGAATTGTATGTTTCCTGATTGTGAGTATGAATGTAAATCATGTAATATTTTAGTGAGGAATTATCCTGTTTTATTTACAGTTTAAATCAATTAATACATTAGAGTTACAACTAAATTTTATTTCACAGCCAATAATTTGGTCCGGCTTTTTACATCAAATACTGTTTCATTATGTCAGGGAAATGCTAAAAAATAATGCCCTTAAAAGTTTTTGATATGTTTAAAATTTAATTCCTGTTTTTTATCGGAATAATTGTATTGGAAATAACTATTCTCCCCAACCTCTGATCAAGTAATCAAAGTTTTGGAAAGCTAAAGATTTAGGTTATTTTTTTATCTGAAAGATTTTTTTTCTCTTTTTTTTGCATTGCTTTGGTAATGTTTAATTTTATAGTGATTTGAAGTTATTAATATTTTCATAATAAAATTCACGGTACCAATTTTACTGCACCAGTAAACTTCAACTTATTTTGAGATTTTTGTTTGTTTCACAATTCAACTTTTAGTCAGTTTCAATCACTTTGTGATAAAACCTTTCAATCTGATAAATGTGCTTCGGGGCAGTTGTAACTCATTTATAGAAACTCTTTGTTTTGAACTGTAAATAGACCCAAATAATAGGATAATCCCTTTGTCAGTGCAATGTTCATAATTAGAATATAGCAAAGTGCTCTCGACCAATGAAATTGTAGGATTTGATGCCTCTTAATTGTGAAGAATGAATGTAAATTATGTTCTTAGTAAGGGATTATCTTATTATTTGGGTCTATTTACAGTTCAAAACAAAGAGTTTCTATAAATGAGTTACAACTGCCCCGAAGCACATTTATCGGATTGAAAGGATTTACCACACAGTGATTGAAACTGACTAAAAGTTGAATTGTGAAACAAACAAAAAACTCAAAATCAGTTGAAGTTTACTGGTGCAGTAAAATTGGTACCGTGAATGTTATTATGAAAATATCAATAACTTCAAATTACAAAAAAATTAAACAATATCAAAGCAATGCAAAAAAGAAAAAAAAAGCTTTAAAATAAAAAAATAACCTAAATCTTTAGCTTTCCAAAACTTTTATTACTGGATCAGCGGTTGGGAAGAATAGTTAATTCCAATATTCCGATAAAATAAAAATAAAACAGGATTTTAACTTAGGTTTTGAACATATTAAAAACTTTTAAATGTATTTTATTTGAACATTTCCCTGACATAATGAAATAGTATTTCATGTAAAAAGCCGGACCAAAATATTGGCTGTGAAATAAAAGTAAGTTGTATCTCAAATGTATTAATTGATTTAAACTGTAAATAAAAAAGATAATTCCTCACTAAAATATTACATGATTTACATGCATACTCACAATCAAGAAACGTATACAATTCCTACCATTTCTTTGTACTGCTGTGTCACCTAATATTTATAACGCATTTTTTGTTAAATATTTCTCAAATGATAAGAAAGTCCTTACATCACTAAAACTAATCCATAAATGACATCCGAAAAAGGAAGTCCTGCATAAATTATAAACATTGTACTGACAATGAAACTAATTCTTGAATACAGAATCAGAATCAGAATCAGAATAATTTATTATAGTGTCACATACCAATATAAAACACAATGAATACATAATTACATAATATGCAATTAAAAATTAAATATTACAATTAGAATATTGGTACCCAGCCAAATAACTGACTTATGAGACACTTTAAAAATATAACACATATTATAAAACAATTAAAACTAATGTACTAAAATATTATTACACACAATACCTCCTTCGATAAAACATGTGATATAAAGTTTTTGCTAAAAATGGTTGAATTGCATCATTTGACATTAAGAAAATAAATTTGTCCTGTAAATCAAGATCGTTAAAAGTCTCACAAATATCACCAGATTTCTTCATTAAATCATATCTTAAATCTGCATAAAAATCGCACCCTAACAAAAAATGTTTTTCATCCTCAACACAATTATCTGTACAATATATACAAGTACGCTCATTTAAAGGAATTTTTGGCTTGGTGTATCTACCCGTTTCAACTGCCAGTGGTAAACAGCCACTTCTAAAATTTGACAAAACACGTCTATGCTGCCTATTACGAACTAATTTTACATAAGAACTAAATTCTAAAACATTTTTATACTCCCTATACATACGTAATTTATTACCATTACATTCATTTCTGTCATTAAACAATTTTTCAACCCATTCATTTTTATCTTTTTCATAGAGTTTGGATTTGATTTCTTGCAGTTTATGTTTGATGGAAAAAGTATCATTAATAACATTTTCAATACCTAAAATTTGTGCTTTCTTTATACAGTTTTTATCCCATGACCTAGAACAATCCTTACTCCACGCATGAACCTTATATGTAAGTCTTGTATCGTAAGTTTTGCTCACTCTAAGAAAAAGACGAAAAGTTTCCAAAATTTCTGCTGATTTCGTACTTTTAAGTCCCATATCACCCTGAATGGCTATATTTGACGCATTTGAAGCACTTCCTAAGAATAACCGACATGCTTTGTTCTGTATAACTTGTACATCTCTCCAATTTGTATGCCCCCATATTCCAGAACCATAGTATAGAACAGGCTCAACTACAGACCTATAAAGTTTCGTAAACACATCATAAGTCATTCCACCACATGAAATAAATTTAGCATATAAGGCTGAAAGTGCTCTGCTTGCTGATTTAGTAATTTCTCGTACTGTATGTTTATAATCCAAAAATTCATTCAAATGCAGTCCCAAATATCTGTAGGATGAAATATAATTAACCGAAGTTTCTCCGCAGTTAAATTCGACAATAGATCTAGCAGTGTTTTTATTACGAAAATGAATAACCTTTGTTTTTTCTTTATTTAGTGTCATTCTCCATTTCCTACACCAGGTTTTTAAACAGTCCAACATCTTTTGTAAATTCTGTTCATTTGGAGCTATCAACGCAACATCGTCAGCGTAAAGAAGAATAGATACATTTAAATCACCAATATCTACACCAGCATTAAGCGAGCGAATATCATCCGCAAGATCGTTAACATATATGGAATACAACCAATCAAGAGATCATTTGAGCCTTGGGCACTTTACAATATTCTAAGTTTGTAAGAGAATTATAATCCCTTACTTCATGATAAGTACTCGCTAACGCTCGTACTTAATCATGAAGAAAGGGATTATCATTCTCTTACATATACTAGATGCATGACTTCCTTTTTCGGCATGTCATTTATGGATTAGTTTTAGTGATGTGAGGACTTTCTTATCATTTGGGAAATATTTTTTAAAAAATGCGTTATAGATATTTTGGTCGAGAGTACTTTGCTATATTCTAATTTTTATAAAAGATTGATTGATGATTATTCGCTCAATGTCAAATAACAATTAGAATATAGCAAAGTACTCTCGACCAATGAAATTGTAGAATTGGATGCCTCTTAATTGTGAAGAATGAATGTAAATCATGTTCTTAGAAAGGGATTATCCTATTATTTGGGTCTATTTACAGTTCAAAACAAAGAGTTTCTATAAATGAGTTACAACTGCCCCGAAGCACATTTATCAGATTGAAAGGTTTTATCACAAAGTGATTGAAACTGACTAAAAGTTGAATTGTGAAACAAACAAAAATCTCAAAATAAGTTGAAGTTTACTGGTGCAGTAAAATTGGTACCGTGAATTTTATTATGAAAATATTAATAACTTCAAATCACTATAAAATTAAACATTACCAAAGCAATGCAAAAAAAAAAAGAAAAAAAATCCTTCAGATAAAAAAATAACCTAAATCTTTAGCTTTCCAAAACTTTGATTACTTGATCAGAGGTTGGGGAGAATAGTTATTTCCAATACAATTATTCCGATAAAAAACAGGAATTAAATTTTAAACATATCAAAAACTTTTAAGGGCATTATTTTTTAGCATTTCCCTGACATAATGAAACAGTATTTGATGTAAAAAGCCGGACCAAATTATTGGCTGTGAAATAAAATTTAGTTGTAACTCTAATGTATTCATTGATTTAAACTGTAAATAAAACAGGATAATTCCTCACTAAAATATTACATGATTTACATTCATACTCACAATCAGGAAACATACAATTCATACCTTTTGTTTCTACTGTGTGTCACCTAATATCTATAACGCATTTTTTTTTAAATATTTCCCAAATGATAAGAAAGTCCTCACATCACTAAAACTTATCCATAAATGACATGCCGAAAAAGGAAGTCATGCATCAATTATAAACATTGCACTGACAATGAAACTAATTCTTGAATAGATCATTTGAGCCTTGAGCACTTTACAATATTCTAAGTTTGTAAGAGAATGATAATCCCTTACTTCATAATAAGTACTCGCTAACGCTCGTACTTATTCATGAAGAAAGGGATTATCATTCTCTTACATATACATATTAAATTAGTAAGAGGAGTAATTAAGAAGTTGAATTAAAGACTGGTTCCAACAAATGACTTTATGTTAATAAGAATTGCAAAAGAAGCAGATAGTTACGGGACATAACCAAGGCATCTGTAGAAACTTTGCAAAGATAATTAATGTTGAGAGAGAGAGAGAGAGAGAGAGAGAGAGAGAGAGTTAAATACGCATCAAATGAATCAAAAATATTTTCCAGTTGAAGATAAGTTTACAATTGTTTCTATTGGTAATTATATAGTTCCCAGTGTGTTCTTTTATACTGTATTTTAATGGCTCTGTATTGTTGTTTTGCGGATCTTTTAGATGTTATTTATGTAAATTGTAGGTTGCGTTTTGTTTTGTTTCAAAAGTTGATGGAGGCGAAACCGCTGTTTCTAGAGCAAGTCGGGTCAACAAACAATACGAGGGTTTTGGCGTTTATAAAGCTCTTACATTATTTATAGAAAAACATTTGTTCAGTGATGGAACTGTTTTAAATGGCGCTGTCGTTTATAGTGAACGAAATCCGAAGATGGTGATTGCAACATCCAGGGGAGAATATACGTTATTGATGAAAAGGGTTTGTTAAACTAGAACTGTAACTTGAAAATTAAACGGTTTATAATTATTTTATCTGGCAACATTACTTAAATTCTAGGCTTAGCAGATGAACAAAATTTATAAACCTCAAGTACGAAGTAAAAAAATGTTTTATTGACCTTAAGTATAAGAATTGCGTTGTTTTTAGTATGTCAGTATAAAACATGTATAAGTGACCACTATGTTGTTTTGCGCGGATTTTTTTGTGAATGCTGGATGTATTACTGCAGCTAGGTGTTACTCGAATTACTATTCCAAACGCCTACAATATTCGACCTAATGACACATTCAAATCTTTCTCAGAAATTGGTTTAACCGGAAATAATAACAAACACGAATTCGAAAATCCTAAATAAAAATAAAACATGAAACCGTTTGAACTAGAAGTATGCTGTCATACGACATTTGTTTAAATATAAGTCATATGATCAATCATATCAAATGTTAAGAAATCAACATTAAAACGCGTATCAGAGTTTTGCAATTCAAATGCAATATACCAAAGAAGAATTCCATGCTTAGTTAAACATATAAGAATGCCAAAGTCATTCACTCTTTTCATTTGCAACTATGTTCACGTTTTTTTATAACATATATTGTATGCAGTTTTATTATCGACAATTTCTTCTTTCGTGTTCAGTATAACAAAACCGTAACACATTTAATTGCAAAATTTTCTTTTTCTTCAGACAGTAATTGTTTACAAGGTAGATTGTGAAAAGATGACAGTCCTTTCACAGGGAACACATCCAACAAAACATACTCAAATTTTGAATGCAGTTGATCTTGAAACAGCTTTTAAGTCTAGTAAAGTATGTTCAACTCTTTTCCCAGAGGAGCGAATCGTGTGTAATAAAGTACCATATAGACTCAAGGAATCGAACATACCACTTATTATTTCAGAAGTTTCTCTTATTGTAGGTACTACTGACCCCGAATGTAGCCTTATTACTTGTGGAGTTTACTATCGTTCTGAAAGCGGCCATACATATTCACTTGAAGTTTATGGAAATTGTGATTTTATTAAAGAGCACTTGGTACTGCATTTTCAACATGCTTTACAATGCTGCCACAAGGAAGTAGTCATACACTTTTTCTGCAATGAGAATGAAGCATCCAAAATTGGTATTGAAATGAAAGAAATGAAATTCAGAAACGTTGATATCCAATTCCCAACAGTATTCGTTGTTGAAAAGAAAATTAAATAAAATATTTATATAAATCTAATTAGCATGAGGACGGAAATGATTAAAAAAATTAATACTCGCTAAATTGAAATTAAGTAATATAAAATATTGGTTATCATTATTTTGTATATGTATTAATAATATCCTATGATAATAGTGTATCATGGCTATGTAGAACAAGCTGTGGCGATTTTTCCACACGTTGATGACGACACAGTAATGTCAGGAATGTTACACCACTTATTCCTAATTACATATACATCATAGAAGTGATGGATCCTTTCCATTTTTAAGTTTTCTGTTTTTTGTTCTTTGAAAAACCCTCGCTTGCATAACAAAATATCCACTTCTTTACTGAAGCAAATATTGCTAAGCTTATGACATGCACATTCTAACACTGAAGCCCGCCTCCAGGTGCGGGATTTTCTCGCTGTGTTGAAGACCTATTGGTGGCCTTCGGCTGTTTTTTGGTCTTTGGTGGGGTTGTTGTCTCTTTGGCACATTCCCCATTTCTATTCTCAATTTTAATATGACGACCTATATATATGTGACTAGACACGATATTTCTAGGCTTATGGGGGTACCTTGTCTAAAATTGGCTTTTTGTATATATATATAGAACATACTGAAACAAAACACTCTATGATGTTATTATGACCTATTTGTTGTAATAACAATGAACACGTCTTTTTGAATATCGGCATAATGAGACTATTCGATGACAACTCTTTATTATCGAAGGCACTGATTTATGAAATACAAAATTATTGTATTTTAATTGGCGCTTAGTCACGGCTGGTAATCTACACACGCAGAACAATCGGTTCTGCAATGAAAACCGTGAGAGGATTTTCCGGTTATGCTTGAGTGGAGTAATTGTCACCGCTTCGAAAGGTATGTACATTTCTAAATCGAAATTTTCTAATTCAATTGATCAAAATATTGAAAATCGGAGAATGCTATGCTGTGGTGAATACTTTAACGAAGAGACGCATGTATCATTTACTGTTGTGCATGGAGTAAAACTCCTACAAAATTAATCGTCCCACGAGTAATTGATGAAAAAAGTGACATTTCAATTTTGAGATGGTTCTATTAACAGACCTACAAGTTCAAATTTAGTTTTTTTTTCTGTCAACGGGATTGAATGTCGTTTTGGGCGGCGTGTACGCTGTCCGAAGTTGAAAGACGTCGTAATTAATCTAGAAACTGCCAATTTTCATTATTTCATGCGTGAGGGGATCGGTTCTGATTAAGGACATCGTGAATGCGTGAGAGGAAGTGCAATTATAGTCAATCATAAATCTAAACCACTTATATTTACGTTGCAGCCATTTCCATATTCATTGTCAATTTATATTTAGTATGAACTTCAATAAAACTGTGCAAGTTACTTGCCTTTCTTTGAAAAAAGTAAAATCACAAAAATACTGAACTCCGAGGAAAATTAAAAAAAGTCCCTAATCAAATGGCAGAATCAAATGATAAAACACATCAAACGAATGGACAACAACTGTCATATACCTGACTTGGTACAGGTATTTTCAAATGTAGAAAATGGTGGATTGAACCTGGTTTTATAGCGCTAAACCTCTCACTTGTATTACAGTCGCTTCAAATTCCATTATATTTACAACGATGCGTGAACAAAACAGACATAATAGGTAAAGTTGTCAAAATAGGGGTCAGCAGTCATCACCGTGTCACAATCTCAATTAGAACAAAAACAAACAAATATTTAACAAAGAAGCATAAAAAAGTATCTATCAAATTTAACAACCACATTCATTGCTTACTTATATATGTATTTTAAATCAACCAATAAAGGATTGAAATATTTGAAGGCCTGTGACTGAATGGCAAGGTTCACATCAACTCTAGTGTAGAGTCGCGTGTTTGACGTCAGAATGTAAACGTCACACACACAGTAAGAGATATAAAATAATTTTGTCGTTGAAGTGATTGTTGCATTTTTCGATATAAAGATATGTTTGCACTTCCCCTCACGCATTCACGATGTCCTCAATCAGAACAGATCCCCTCACGCATGAAATAATGAAAATTGGCAGTTTTTAGATTTATTAAGACGTCTATCAACTTCAGACAGCGTACACGCCGCCCAAAACGACATTCAATCCTGTTAACAGATAAAAAACTAAATTTGAACTTGTAGGTCTGTTAATAGAACCATCTCAAAATTGAAATGTCACTTTTTTCATCAATTACTCGTGGGACGACTGATTTTGTAGGAGTTTTACTCCATGCACAACAGTAAATGATACATATGTCTCTTCGTTAAAGTGTTCACCACAGCATAGCATTCTCCGATTTTCAATATTATGATCAATTGAATTAGAAAATTTCGATTTAGAAATGTACAAACCTTTCGAAGCGGTGACAATTACTCCACTCAAGCATAACCGGAAAATCCTCTCACGGTTTTCATTGCAGAACCGATTGTTCTGCGTGTGTAGATTACCAGCCGTGTTAGTATGGCAAGCCGTTTTACTATTTATTCTAACTTCAAGATATCTTATAAATTGTATGAGATATCTTATAAACTATATGATATATCTTTTAAACTATATAAGATATCTTAATATGAGGAAGGCGCTATACCTTGAATGCCAGCTTACTAAAACTATGTCCTACATATATATTGATTGTTGGTTTGCTGAAAGCCCAGTGGCAAATATTTCATGCATGTTCAGGACGAATGTCCTACATATAGTTTTTGTCTAAAATAAAATAATAAGTTTAGATGGAAAATGTTTAGGGAAAGATCATTGAACTTCAAAAGGCAGAAGGAGGTATGGTATTTTTTTTTTTGGTGTGTCGCAGGAAGCATCAAAGCAAAAATTTAAAATAGCCTTCCTGGACGTCATAATTATTTGGACTAGTATTTTTCTTTAAAAATTAATGACAAAAAATACTCTGTTCAAGCAGAGGACAAAAAAAAATATTCTGAATCCAGATTTTCCCCATACCTTCTAGTGTTATATTTTGACTAAATAATGTTGATTGATAGCATTGAAGTGCTTCACGTGTAAAAAAATCTGACTCAAACAAAAAACCATACCCCCCCCCCCCCCCCCTCCTTTGAAGCTAAATGGTTGCTCCCTTATTGTTTTCTGCTGAAAATGAATTTATTGGTGATTTATATAAATGACAATGCTTACATTCATTATCTTGTGCATTTTTATATCCATTTTTCTTTCTTTGCACATTTTATAAAATTTAAAACAATTAGACATTTGTTTAATTACCAAACTATGAATACTGTACAGTTATACAATCCATAACTTTATTAAATTAATTTTTTGTTGATTTTCATGAAAAGGTGGAGGATTTGGAATATCTTTTTATTCAATATCATTATCTAAAAGTTGTAGCGGTTTTTTTTATTTAATATTGCAAACAACGCTTTCTGTTTGTTGAATTATTTTTACTTTCTAAATTAGCTGGTTGTTCATATTGTATTCCCAGTTTCCTGCATCTCATATATATGTGATCAGCAAGAGGATCATTCTGATTGTTAAAAGAAGAGTTTGAATTTACAGTGAGCCTGCTTAGAATAATGTTTTGATCAGGTTTTTCATTTTTATCTAAGCATATAAGGAACCATTAATAGGATTGTTAAGTTGATAATCTAAAGATTTTGCTATTTTCTAGGATGCTATTTAAAATTTGAGGGGAGAACACTGCTCAGCAGTATAAATGTATTCCTGATCATCTTCTTTTTGTGGGGTTCTACATCAATTTCATGTACTAATTCAGAGTCGATTTTATGTCATTTCTTGCATAATTTGTTTTATTAGCTTACTTTTCAAGTTTTTATACGACGGCAATATAAAATTGAGAATCGAAATGGGGAATATGTCAAAAATTTGCTTTCGAGTAATGCTATCATGTCGCTGTTGCTGTCCGAAGACACATTTGATTTCCGGACAATAACTTTAGTTTAAGTAAATCGATCTCTATGCCAATGTATGAAATTGTACCAGAAGGTTCAATACACAAAAGGAAGGTTAGAATTGATTTTGGGGGTTATGGTACCAACAGTTTAGGAGTCAGTGGTCAAAAACAACATTTTTGGGTTGTTTTTTTTCCATAATTTTTGGGTTTTTTCTCTAAAAATTTACCATTTTTACATTGATTATTTCTCATTTATATATATATGCAACAAATACTGATATGGCAGGTGATACACACGAAACAGTGTGTGTAAATCATTTTATCTGTAATTTGTGCATTTTTCCTTTGATGTGTACTCCTTGTCCTTGATAATGTCGACGTCATTATCAGTGGACTGGTCATGATAAAGAAAATACATGTATATTGGGTTAGTTCGCAATTGACATGCACAAGTGCACCGCAAAAGGATCTTCTTTCCCTTTAATTCACAAAATTGCACATGATTTTTTTCACAGAAACGCACACGTTATTTCATGAATGAAACACTTGTCATTGTTTGAAACTTTCAGTAATCAGCTGGTAATAAAACTTTAGTTAAGCCTTTTTGAATGATTCACTGAATGTGTGAAAATTTGAACAGAAAATGTACGATAAACCTGATAAAATTGCGGAATTATTGATAGCTTTCCTTACTATTCACAAGGACATATCACTAACATATCGTCCATGCTATTCCGATTTGACACACGGTTTTTATTCCTACATAGTCTGGCATGGCTGGTGCTGTTCCAAGTTGTCTTCTTTTGCTGCATGTTTCTTGAGAAGTATTTGTTTGACCTGGTCAGTCACTATAAAGTGTTACAATTCATATTAAGACGCAACACATAAATAGTGACCAAAAAGGTACCGCTTCCACATGCATGACATGAGAGAATCTAGAAAAAAAAATAAATGTACACATTTTCAACATTTTTGTGGGACTATCATATAAAATTAAGGAGATATGTAGTTGGAGACTGCTGCTGAAAAGAAATGTTTGGGCTCACCTGATACCTGTTTTCAAATAAGTCCATATCAAAGTTTGAAGGGTCCAAAATTAAAATATG